CTGCTAAATTTAAGATTTCTGCATCCAAAGATTTTTCCCACCAGGAGCATTTTCTGCTCCAGCCCCCGATCCCAAAAATTGGGATCTGATTCCCAAAAAAGATTCCCAAAAAGATCCATGAAATTATCCCAGGGATCTGAAAAGCACTGGCCTGGAAAATTGGATTTATAATGGAGGCTCTTACTGAGAATTCCAGGAAAAAGGAGTGGAAAAAGCAGGAAATGTGGGAATTCTGTCCCAAAAAAATGGTGGGGGGAAAAAAGCAAGAAATGTGGGAATTCTGTCCCAAAATTCCAAGTTTTGATGGGACCTCCCTCTCTTATCACCAAGGATTTTTCCAGGGATAACTGATAAGAATTCCCAACGTTCTCCCAGATTCCAGGAACAAACGTAATTTTTATGGGAATTTTCTGGGATGACCCAGCCTCATCCTGGATGTTTCCAAGATTTTCTGATGGGTTTTCATCCACACATTTTAAAAAATCTCCTTTTTTGGGCATTTCAGGAATTCTGGGATGATTCCAATGGATCCTGACTGAGGAACATTGTGGGAATTCTTGGTATTCCCCAAATAAGGAGAAAATTCCAATAAAAACAGGGAGACAGGGAACTAAAAAAATCTGGGAATTGTCCTGACCTAGGAGCTTCCAGCACTTCCAGGCTTTCCTGTGGAAAAAAAAAATCCCAAATTTCCTGGCAAAATATCCATGCTGAGGGAAGAGCAAAGCATGGGAAAAGTTGGGAATTTTTGAATCCCGAGCAAGTGGACGGGAAGAATTCCTGGAATTCTGGAATGGTTTGGTTGGGAAGGATTTTAGGGATCATCCCACTCCAATCCCTGCCAATTCCCACATTCCCAAACCAGCCTTGGACACCTCCAAGGGATGGAACAGCCACAATTCCAACCCCTTTTCCAACAAAATCCCCCCAAATCCTGAGGCCATCCCTAAATCCCGATTTTTCTTTTTTTTTTTTTTTTCCTCTCTGTATCCAGCAGAGAATTTTCCCTTGGATTTCCAGGCAGGAAATTTGGAATTTCGAAGTGGAGCGGCTCCGAAAATTCCACCAAACTTTTCCTGGTGACCTGAAATCCCTGAAATCCCGATGGAAAAATCCCAGCCTGACCTGAAAGGAAGGAATTTAGCCCGGGAAAAAAGCTGGATTTGGGACAGATGGCATTCCCCAGGGCTTGGATAATTTTCCAACTGGGAACCAGCTGCATCCTGGCTTCTTCCCAATCCTTCCCGAATGACCTTCCCAGAGGAAAAACCGGGAGCAGGAGGAGAAATTCCTGACCTAGGGATGAAGGGAAAAACTTCCCCAGGAATTCCGAGCCCTGGAGAAGCCACGGGAATGAGCAGATCCAGGGAAATGAGGCTGAAAAATGGGAATATGGGATGGGGAGGGATCCCGGGAAGGACGGGGAGGTGTTGGAACAAATCCAGGAGGATTCAAGGGATGGAGCTGGGAGGAAAAGCTGGGAAAAGTGGGAATGTTCTCCTGGAGAAAGGAAGGATCCAGGGAGAGCTTCCAGAACATTCCAGGGATTAAAGGGGCTCCAGGAGAGCTGGAATTTAGGAAAGGAGTGGAGGGACAGGACACAGGGAATGGCTTCCACTGGGAACAGGGAGATTGGGTGGGAATTTGGGAATTCCCAGAGAATCCCTGGATCCCTGGAATATCCCAGGAAATCTTGGAGCAGCCTGGGATGGTGGGATTGGAATGGGATGGGATTGGAGGTCCATGGATCCCATCCCAAACCATTCCGGGATTCTGGGATCAAGGATGCTCAGAATCCATCCCGAGGGATTTTTATGGAATTTGGGGATGGAAAAGGGAAGGGAGACCCTTCCTGGAGTCCTGAGGTTCCCAGTGAAGCCCCCGGATCCCAAAATTCCTTCCTAGAGTGGAGTTGGGGTGGGGATGGATCCAATGCCAGGCTGGGAGAGCTGGGAATGGAGGGAATTCCCTGGGAAGGGGAGCTTGGGGTGGGAATTTGGGAAGGAATTCCTGGCTGGGCTGGAATTCCCAGGGAATCCCTGGAATGTCCAAGGAAATCTTGGAGCACCCTGGGATCGAGGAATTGTCCCTGCCCTTGGAATGGGATGGGAATGATCTCATGGATAGGGATGGGATCCATCATTCCAAGATTCTGGACATTCCCAGGCTGTCCCCTGGCTGGAATTCCTGAAATTCCAAATTTCCATCCTCATCCCACAATTCCTTTCATTCCCAATCCATCCCTCACCTTTCCCACATTTCCACATCCACATTCTCCTTCCAGGACCCTCCACACCCTCAACATTCCCATTCCCAGGAATTCCCATCATTCCCAGGAATCTCCATCATCCCCCACAGCATTCCAGGATCCTGAAGATTCCCAGGCTGTCCCTTGGATGGAATTCCTGCAATTCCATCTTCCCATCCTCATCCCACAATTCCTTTCATTCCCAAACTGGTTCCCACCCTTCCAGCTCTACCTTTTCCCTCCAGGATGCTCCATTCCCAACATTCCCAGGAATTTTCATCATTCCCAGGAATCTCCGCCATCCCCCACATCATTCCAGAATCCTGGAGAGTTCCCTTGGCCAGAATTCCTCCAATTCCTTCCTCTCCCAACATTCCCAGAGCTCAGGGCTCCGGCTGGATCCGCGATTTTCCCGGGATTTTCCCGGCTGGAAGCGGCTCTTCCCCGTTTTCCAAATCCATGGAACATGACAAAGCAGCGGCAGCTCGGCACGGCCCGGAGCTGCCAAAATTCCCCAAAAAAAAAACCCCGGAGCGTTTCCCGGAGAAATTCCGTGCGGGAAGGGATCGGCTTGGAATTCCTCGAGCCTCCCAAATTCCGGGAATGATCCAGAGGGAAGCGATTCCCGCTCCCAGGGGGGTCACTCCACACCCTCCTCCTCCTCCTCCTCCTTCTTCCCACGAGTTGTTTTTCCCTGGAGATCACACGCCAGGAATTTCGGGATGAAGAAGCGAATCCCAAGGATTTTGTGACCACCCACTCCCACGGCAGCACGAGGAAACGCTGGGAAAAGGGGAGGGGGGAGGAGGGGGGGGGAAAAACATCGGGAAAAGCATCCCAGATCCCAGAAATCCTTTCCGGATCCTGGAATTCCACACCTGAGTGCCAGGAATTCCAACCCCATCCTGAAATCCCATAGGAAACCCCCCTGGAATTCCAAGGAATCCTCACCACAGGCCCTTCCCCGCCGGCTGCCGCTCCTCCCCCGAGGGAAAACAAATCCATGGGAACGGCAGCGGGAATGTCGGAGGAGAATCCTGGAGCAGCAATTCCAAGCCGGGAATATTCCCGGTTTCCTTTTGCCATGGCACAGCCGGAGCTTCCCGTCATTCCAGAGGCTCCGGCTCTGGAATCCGCAAAAAAAATCGCGGAGGAGGGAGAGGAGGAGAAGCTCCCGAAACTTTCCGGGGGAAAAACTCTGGAATTCTCCGGCTGGCAGGGAAACCCTTCCCGGTGTCTGGGAGCTGGAATTCCAACAGAATTCCCGGCCCAGCCCCACGGCAGCGCTGGCTGGAAAATTATCCAGGAAAATTCCCCGGTTCCCGCTGCAGCTCTGGAAGAGGAGCCTGGAAAAGCTGGAATGCTCTGCCAGCGTGAGGGGGGGTTGGGAATTTGGGATGTGGGAATGGGATTTGGGAGCTGGGAGCTGGGATGGGAACAGCGGGGACAAGGATGCGAGGCCGGGAATGGGAAAGGGTCTGGAGCTGCTGCCCCACAAAAGGGATGGGAACCCCAAAACAGGGATGAGAACCCCAAAACAGGGATGGGGACCCCAAAACAGGGATGGGGACCCCACAACCAGGATGGGGATCCCAAAATCAGGATGGGGACCCCAAAACAGGATTGGGGGCCCCACAGAACTGCGGCCCCAAAACAGGGCTGGAAACCCCACAGAGCTGGAGCCCCACAACAGGACTGGGGACCCACAGCCCTGCAGCCCCAAAACCAGGGTGGGGACCCCAAAACCAGGATGGGAACCCCACAACCACACGGCAGGACCCACAAAGCTCCGGCCCCATAATCAGGATGGGGATCCCAAAACCAGGATGGGGACCCCACAGCCCTGCAGCCCCAAAAGCAACCAGGGACTCAGAAGAGCTGCAGCCCCACAACCAGCCTGGAGACCCCACAGTTCTGCCACCCCACAGGTGGGCTGGAGACCCCACAAAGCTGCAATGCAACAAGCTGGAGACCCCACAGGTGTCTTGGAGACTCCAAAAAGCTGCAACCCCACACCTGGGCTGGAGACCCCACAGTTCTGGAACCCCACAGGTGGGTTGGAGACCCTCAAACTTGCAGCCCCACAACCAGACTGGAGAGCCCCAAAAGCTGCAGCCCCACAGGTGGGCAGGGGATCCCAGAGTTCTGCAGCCCCACAGCCAGACCGGAGAGCCCCAAAATCTGCAGCCCCACACCTGGGCTGGAAACCCCACAGGTGGGTTGGAGACCCCAAGGCACGGCAGCCCCACAACCAGCCTGGAAATCCCCACAGTTCTGCAGCCCCACAGGTGGGCTGGACACCCCAAGAGCTGCAACCCCACAGCCAGACTGGATACCCCCAAAAGCTGCAGCCCCACACACCTGGACTGGAAACCCCACAGTTCTGGAACCCCACAGGTGGCTCGGACACCTCACAAAGCTCCAAGCCCACAGGCATCCGGAACACCCCGGAGCTCTGCAGCCCCCACACCTGGACAGGGCGCCCCCAATGCACCTCAGCCCCACAGGTGACCCCCAAATCCCTTCACCCGCACACCTGAGCTCTGCCCCATCCCACCCGCAGCTCCGCCAATGCCGCATCCAGCGGGGGCATCGCCCGCGGCTCCTCCCGCCCTGCTCGGCCGCTCCCTGCCGCTGTCCCCGGTGCTGTCCCGCTGTCCCCGGTGCTGTCCCCGGTGCTGTCCCGCCGTCCCCGCCGCTGTCCCCGGTGCTGTCCCGCCGTCCCCGCCGCTGTCCCGCCGTCCCCACTCACCCTTGACGGCCTCCCCGCGGTTGAGCTGGATCTCGCCATCACCCTGCGGCGCGTAGCTCTTCACCACGATGAACTTGCGGCCGGGCACGGCGCTGTACAGCTTGCGCTTGGGCCCGCGCAGCGGGGCGGGCGCGGCGTGCGGAGCGGGCTCGGCACCGGGGCCGGCGGGCGGAGCGCCGGCAGCGCCGGGGCTGTAAACGAACACGTAGGTTACGGTGCTGATCCCCGGTAAGTCGCGGCTCGCCCCACCGCGCCCCGCGGGCTGCGCCATGGCCCCGGGGGGGGGGGGGGGGGGGGGGTGGGTGGTAGCCCCCGCGGGGCTGGCGGTGGCCACCGCGGGGTTCAGCGTGGCCCCGGTGGTGCCGGCCGGGCGAGGCCAGCGGAGGAGGAGGAGGAGGAGGAGGAGGATGCGGGAGCGGCAGCAGCGGCTGCGGGGCGGCCGCCGCCCGGCACCGGCGGCTCCATGGCGCAGCGGCGCCGCCCGGGCCGCGCTCCGCTCCGCTCCCTCCGGCGCACCATGGCCCGGGGCAGGTGGGGCCGCAGCCCGCGGCTCCTCCCCCGGCGGGCGGGGACCGAGCCGGACCGAGCCGCCCCCGCCGCCCCCGCGGATGCTGGCGGCGCCTGGTGGTGCTGCTGGACCGGATCGGATCGGACCGGACCGGACCGGACCGAGCAGAACCGAACTGAGCTGAACCAGAACCGCGCTGAGCTGAACAGAACCGAACCGAGCTGAGCTGAACAGAACCGAACCGAGCTGAGCTGAACAGAACCGCGCTCAACTGAGCCGAACTGAGCGCGGGGCCCGCACGGAGTCGCCCCCTGGCGGCCGCTGCCGGTGCTGCCCCCGGGGGGGGAATGGGAATGGGAAAATGGAAATGGGTGTGGGAATGGGAATCAGAATTGGAACGGGTGTGGGATTAGGAAGGAGTGTGGGAATATGGGAATGGGTGTGGGAACGGGGATATGGGAAGTGGTGTGGGAATATGAGAGTAGGAATGGGAGGGGGAGAAGGATAGAGGGAGGGAAGGAAGGAAGGAAGAGCAGCCGGCCGTGCAGAGCAGCAGCCACGGGGCCGGGGGAAGCTGCGGGGGCGATGCCCGGCCCGGGGTGCCCGGTTCCCGTTCCCCATTCCCAATTCTCATTCCCAATTCCCATTTCCAGTTCCCATCCCTGGTTCCCATTCATTCCCAGTTCCCATTCCCGGTTCCCATTCCCGGTTCCCATTCCCGGTTCCCATTCCCGGTTCCCATTCCCGGTTCGGGGGTGCCCACAATGCCCCACTCTCCGTTTTTGCTCCCAAATTCCGTCTTCGCCCCCGCCAGTTTTTGCCACCCTGTTCCCCGGTGCCACCTGTGCCCACCCCTGTGCCCCAGTGTCACCTTTGTGCCACTGCCACTGTCACCAGGTGCCACCCTGCACCTCAGTGCCACCTGTGTCACCTGTGCTCAGTGCCACCCACGGTGACACTTTGTGCCTCTGTCACCTGTGCCACCCCTGTGCCTCAGTGCCACCTGTGCTGTCCTGAGCCCTTTCCCGGCTCCCTCTGGAATTTTCCAGCCTTTCCAAGCTCCTCCCCTTTCCCTTTTCCTGCTCCAGCTCCTCCAGCGCTCTCCTGGCAGGAAGACCCCGACGGAATTCTGGGGGGAAAAATCCCAGAATTCCAGAGCTTGGAAAAGAATTCCAAGGACACTGAGCCCAAGAAAGGAATTCCGGGAATTGCTTGGACACTTCCAGGGATAGAGACTCCGAACCTCCCTGGGCAGGCCCTGACCACCCTTTCCATGGGGAAAAAAAATTCCATGAGCAAAAAATTCCATCGGCAAAAAAATTCCATGAGGAAAAAAAAAAAAACAATTCCAGGAGCGAGGCTGCCCGGGTGGGGTTGGATGTTTTCCACGGGAGTGAATTCCTGGGAATTTTTCCAGCGGAATTTTTCCCTCCCTCCCTCCCCTTTTATCTCCCCACACCAGGAGGCTCCAGGCCCACATCCCACAAATCCGCAGCTCATCCCGGATTTCTGGAATGAGGGATAAAAATCCAACAGCGGGGATTAAAATTCCCGGTGGATCCAAGATTTCTCCACGCTCGGTGCTCACATCCTCCCGCTGGGATTCCCACGGGATTCCGAAGGAAAAGGGAATTCTGGGAAGGAGCAGCAGCTCTTCCTCCCTCTTTCCTCAGTTTGGAGTTCCATGGAATTTTATTTTTTTTTTTGTCCTTCATTTCATCCCGTTGGAATTGCAGGTGGGATTGATGGCATCCCACGTCTGATTCCAGGGAATTCCAGCCCATGGAAGCATCCGGCTGGGTTTGGTGCTTCCATCGGGAATTGTCCCGTTCCAGGATGGAAAAACTTCCTCGGGAATAAATTTGGAATAAATCCCCAGAGAATTCCCATTCCAAAATTCCATGGCAGGTGGGATTTGGGATCTGCTCCCTGGAAATCCCAGGGAACAGCCTCGAGCCGTGCAGGAGGAATTTTAGGTTGGAGATTGGGAAAAATTCCTGAATTTTCACACAGAATTGGGAAAAAAATCCTGAATTCCCAAACACAATTAGGAAAAAAAAATCCCAATTTTTCCACAACAGAACTAAGAAAAAAATTCCTGAATTCCCGCAGAATTAGGGGAAAAACCCTGAATTCCCAAACACAATTAGGAAAAATCCTAAACCCCTGAATTCCCAAATCCAGAGGGGCAGTAGGGCTCCCAAAACTGGGGATGGGGCTGGGATGAACTCAAGGAATGAAATATCCAGAGGGATGATCCCAGCACGAGGAGCTGGGCCGGGAAACTCGTGGTGTTGGAGTGGGATTGGGAAGAGCACGTGGGGAATGAGTCACAGTCACAGCCACGAGGGAGGAGGGATCCAACTAAAAACCTGGAAAAACCCATGGAAAAGTTCTGCTGTCCCAGCCCTGCTGCTCCTGGGAAAGGCTCGGGGATCCCCTGGAATTCTGGGAGCAGCTGGGGAGAGGCTGGAATGGGAAAAGGGAAGGAGCTGGAAAACCTTGGAATAAAAAATTGGGATAACACTGAATATTCCTGGTATTCCCTGGAAAAGCTGCCCCAGAATCTGTTTTTCTCCAGGATTTTTCCAGGAAAATGGGAGCAGACTCTGATAATTATGGATATCCCTTGCCATGGAGCAAAGGAGTTTCTGTTGGGAATTAAAACTTCCAAGGTTTTTTTCCTAACTTGAATTCCGGTTGCAAACCTGGGGAATTTCTCCTGCCCCAACTCCATGGAAAGATTTCCATGATCCTTCAATCCCTGGGAAAACCTGGAAATAACAGAGCACAGTTCTCCTTCCTTGGGATATTTTCCTTGGAGGAGCTCCAGGAATCCTCGGGAAGTTTGGACAAGGAGTTGGGCAGAGCTGCTCCAGGGAATTTTGGGAATATTTCCAAGACTATGGATTATAAAATCCCAGAATGTTTTTGACCTCTCAACGAGGATCCCACTCTGGATCTGACTCTGGCACATCCCAAATTCCCGAGCTTCCTGAATTCCAAGGCAGGGTTGGAGCAACCTGGGAGAGTGGGAGGTGTCGTTGCCCTTGGAATTGGATCAGCTTTAGGATCCTTCCCATTCCAGGATTCCTCGATTCCCACTGAACCCTCTGATCCAAATCCCCGGAGACGTGAGGGACACGGGAACTGGGGACCCTTCCCAATCCCAGCCAAACCAACATTCCCATGGGACACGGCCGGCAGGGAGGAGGAGCAGCGGGATAACGCCAGAACCCATCCCAATCCCAATCCCAATCCCACCAGATGCAACATCCACGGTATCCATGAATCCATGATATCCCTGATATCCATGAAATCCATGAATCCATTATATCCACGAATCCATGATTTGAGCGTGGGATGGCAGAAAAATCCCAGGGAAAAGCCCAGTTTGACACTGGGATGAGGAGGGATGGAGGGAAGGAAAAACACAGGGAAAATCCAGGGAGAACTTAATCCCCAATCCATGGGGTCCCATTCCCACCTCCATCTAATTCCATGGGATCCCATCCATCAGACCCCATCCCCAGCTCTAATTCCATCAGATCCCATTCCCAGTTTTGTCTAATTCCATGGGGTCCCATTCCCAGATCCATCTAATTCCTTCCATCCCTACATCCCAATCCATGGCATCCCATTCCCAGTTCTGTCTAATTCTTTCCACACTCCCCCAGTCCATTGGATCTCATTCCCAACCCTAATTCCATGGGATCACCTCGCACATGCTCCCAATCCATGGGATCCCATTCCCAACTCTGTTTAATTTCATGGGATCCCATTCCCAGCTCCACCCCACCCCTCCCAC